TTAAACATTGGGGGTCTGCCGCTGATTTTGTCTTTATCTTAATAGTTATCATTGTTGTTGTTCTGAACTGGTTCCACCATAGTGTTTTTCTTGCTAGGATATTTTTCTAACACAGTTAAGTGTTAGAACCCAGAACCAGGTGCTCTGATACCAATTAAAGGATAGAAAAACACAAGAAAGAGGGTTTAAATTGGGTTTTTAAAAATTAAAAATAGTATGGCACATTTGGTTATCCTGGTTCGTTTGAACTCAAACTACTCCAATCTACCTGCAAAGGTGATTTCGCCTATATCAATCGAGGTCTTAATCCACTAATCAAAAACTGATTTACACAACATGAAGACAATTGTCGATGTCTTCTTGAGATCAAACCACAACTTGGTTTTTCAAGGAATTATAAATTTTCTAGCAAAAAATAATGTGTCTAACAAATGCTTCTAAAAGCTATATCACAACTGTGATGTTTACACAAGATTAAAGCACAGTGATAATTCAAGAGATAAAAATAAGAGATAATGTTTTGATCACTCTTTTTGGTATGTGTGAGTGATCTTTTATTCTTCTTCATAGTCTTATTTATATAGGAATTTGATCCAAGAGATCCGTTGGAGACATGAGAAGATGTTTTTGGAAGGTTGATAAAATGTTGTCAATGGACTTTCCAAAAGTACAAATCTTGTTCCAAAACATAATTATTCAGCCGTTACTTTCTTGATCCTGTATTGATTGTCATTAATGTGATGTTGGATCTTCAGTCCTTTCAGAGTTTCTTGAGCTTGATTGCATGTAATCAGAACTTTGAATGTGACAGACACGTTGAAGCTTTTATGTTCTTCAAAATTTCACTGTCAGAGTATAGCTTGAGCTTAAGTGCTGAGTCTTAGAACTTAAGAATAAATGAGTGTATTGCTTCATCACAATTTAGATTGCAGCCTTTGTTCTTCCAGAACTTCACTTATCAGTGTATTGCTTCATCAGATTTTAGATTGCAGCTTTGGTGCTTCAGAAGTTATAACGTCAAAACTTCTTCTATTGAGCATGATACTTTAATTTAGTTTATACATATACTGTTATCAGATCTTCTTAGCGCAAATAGTTCGCTAACTTAAATGCTTCTTTATCAAATATGCATATTTATATAATTTATTAGAGAGCATAATTGTTCTTTATATATATCATGTATTTGTTATCATCAAAGTTATTATTAAGATGTAGAACCAAACTATGTTCTAACCCAGTTTACCAAATATGTCAGTCACATTAAATAATATACAAAAAATTTGAAATCAAAACAAAATTCTAGAAACCCAGATATTCTAATCAGTCGGGTAGTTAAGATGATAATTTTGTTTAGACATGAATCATAAATATCTCATATATAAGACAAGTTTATACTCAGCAGGAAATTTAAGAGATAACAACCTTAAGATAAATAAGTTCCTAAAGTTTTTTTACTATATAGTGACACATATATGAATAGAGATGTGCTGAAAATTAGAAGGGAATTCTTAATATATTATGACTAGAAATATTGACTTTTCTTTGACAAGATAACTTCTAACTGGTAGAGGAATCTAGTCAGCTTTGTCAAAAAACATTTAAATTGCAAACCTGGTGACTTGAGATGATTTATCCTTCATTATTACTTTTGCTTCTGCTCAACCATTATGTAATACTGTCGTGAGTGTCCTTTTGTTTAGATATTTGATCCAAGGTATCCTTTCTGGAAGGTTCACTATTTTTTATCAACTTTAGATATTGCCTTTTGTCTAATCCAGGTGCACTTCTAATAGCTAGCATCTTCTCCTTTTAAATTTAATCCATTTAGAGATTTTTTTGTGTGCATGATCTTCGTTTCTTCTGCAAGCATTTGATACTTCCTTCTTAACATATATTCAACTGGATGATGGGAAAATATCTTCTGATGCATCTTGTCTATGTTATTTTTGAGTCACTTATTAGAATCATGATGCCTTTTCTGATAAACCTGAATGTTCGAAAGGATCCCTCTTTCTTTCATTTTATTCTATAGAATTCATAGTTTTTCTATTTCTGAATCTCTCTACATGGTTAAGTGTTTGATTCACAAATCAATAACAAAGTCGGGCTCTGATACCAATTCAAGGTAGAGAAAAACACAAGAAAGTGGGGTTTGAATTGTGTTTTAAGAAAATATTCCCCTTTAAAAAATTATTTGATTGAACTATGAAAGAATATAGAATGCAATAAACATAAAGAGACACATTCAGTTATCCAAGTTCACCATTAACTAGGTTACTCCTGTCCACCCTCCTCAGGTTATTTTTCCTTCAACGAGGACTTAATCAACTATAACCAAATCTGATTACAATCTACAATAAGTATGATCAGCCTTACTGACAACCACAACAAGATCAGTTGATCCTTATTGCCATCTGCAAAGGCCGTAGCCCATGCCTTCTTGAGAATCCTGACTCAAGTGAGTCTCTCAAGGAACAAAATAATGATCCATTCAGTGATCTCCACGAGATATAATGAACATTGACCCACCAAAAATCCAACCAACATGGTCTCCTAGAAAGGATTTCATCCACATTGACTGCAGCCACTCGTCTTCTCAAGTATCAGATCTTCACAAGATCACTTAAGGAACCACAAATTCTAAACAAAATTGTTTTTCTGGAGATTACATGAGTGCTTCTAATCAAGCATATTACACCTACTTTAAGTGCATATTATTTGACACAATTATGAGCAATAACTCTTGTGTACAAACAATTTACACGAATATCTTAAGAAATAACACAATATGAGCAACAAGTATTATGTTTTACATGTTTCTACAAATATGAATATAATATAAGTTAAGTGAAGCATCTTGTAGTCTTCTTGTCTTCATCTTCTTCGTTGAGCAAGCTATGAGCAACAACTCCTTGCTTCCCCATAATTCTGCCAAGATGTACATGACTGATAGTTTGAATAACATCTAGTAGAATTCTTCATCTTCATCTTATTTATTCATTAAGAAAGAGACGTTGTTAGATATTTTCTATTAAGATTAGCAATGTTGTATGGACACAAAAATTATCTTCTTTATCAATATCTTCGTCATTTTAAATTTGAAGCTTTAGTCTTCTTATATAGCCTTTAGATGAAAGATTCGTTGTAAGGATAAAGAAGTATTTTCTCCCTCCAACAGTTGATTCCCAACGGATATATTCAAGAGAGGTTAGAATAGTACGGAATTCCACTTTCCTATACCTACTGCTTGCAGTAGATAGCATATGACAGTGTTAGAACAACTTCTGTGAATAGTACAACCAATAACGTCATAGTGGAATTTGGGGTGTACTTTATTCTTCTTGACTAAGTTTCTTGATCTTTATCTTCTGATGATGTACTTCTGATTCTGAAGTAATAATCTTGGAAGAGATCAATCACTATTTTTTATTCTTCTGATGACTAACTAATGAGTAGTTCATAAACTACTTTGTTGTTGTAGCACAGGAACACTATTGTGGTCAGAACAAAATCTTGTCTTCAGAATTATGGGCAACAGCCTATCTGAAACACGAAGATTTTCTTATGATTTAGAAATACTCTTGAAAGCGTATTTCATTTTTGATCTGAGAGATGAAGATTATGTTGAGAAGATGTTTCATTTCACATTCTTTCAATAGTGGATTCTTGTTTTTAGAGTGATCAATAACAACCTTTATGAGAACAAGTCTTGTCGTTGTTCGTGAATGCTTTTCTGATGATATCAAAAGATTTTCTGATGATAGACCTTGAAATCAGATATTCTGACAACAACCTATCTGATTCTCAATTCTTTGAATTCTTGACCTTTGATTCTTTTCTTCTTGCTGGATTGATTATGATTGAGGAGTGATAATGATCCAGAATATGCTTCAAATTTTTATAGTCAGAGTCTTTCAGATAGTTGAATATTGTCTTCAAATATATAAGCAAAACAACTTTTCTGATGAACAATGTCTTCTTTGAGCGAAAGCTTTTCTGATCTTGACTTCTTGAGTTGATCTTTGATTCTTGATAATCAGATTTTCTAAGTTGAATATCTAATGTCTGATTTATGAAGCAACAACTTATATCAGTACATCTAATTTTGACGTTGAGTTCTTTCTTTTTGATCTCTTGATCTTTGTATTGTTTCATTTTCTGATGAATATTCAGCATTCCTTAGATCTGCTGTTATTTCTATAGAAACAATCACAATATTTCTTCTGTTGAGTGCAATGGTGTTTCTGATGATGGCTTTCTTTTGATGAGTAGATTGGCTTGAGAAGATATCATCCTTTGATCATGTCTTTTGATAGACTTTGTGATGTTGATTAGATGTGAGTACACAAGATCTTTCTTTCTTTTATCCTTTCTTCTGATGGAATACTTCTGATGTTGAATGAAAGTTCATATTCCATGAATTCCGAGTTTTCAGAATCTTGACTTCATCTTCAGAAATGTGAGAAGCAAATCTTCTGATGAAGAAATCTTGACTTTTGATCTTGAAGTAGAATCTATCTCTATATGTGTTCAAAATCTTGACTTCGTCTTTAGAATCATAAGCAGCAGCTCTTCTAATGGACAAATCTTAACTTCTTATCTTATGTGTTGGAAGCTTGTTTCTTGTACACTCTTGATTTCTGATCTTGAAGCAACATCTTATCATAAAATATTTCTTCTTGAACACTCATTGGGATTCTTTTCTTGTCGAACATTCAACACTCAATAGAACTATCGATATTACATTAGAAACAAAACTCAATGGTTCTTCTTCTGAGTGATAAGGTGATTCTGATGATATCTTGATTAAGACTATCCAAAATTATAATAATGTATCTGCATACTCAATGAAACCATTAGTACTAAATGTGTTTCTCATAAAAATATATGATTGTTATCATCAAATCATAGATTAAACACAGATCTAAATCTTGTTCTAACACTAGTTGCAACAAATGGAAACCCCTTCAATGGCAACAATCTGAAAAACCAGGAAAATTATGGATAAATCATGGACCGTTATTAAACCAAAAGATTCCATTGACTTACAAAGTGTAAAGACTCTCAGGATTCCTGTTGATGGTTCTCCTCTCTTTACTAAGCTTGATCCACCTGAGGTCCTAGAAAACTATCTAAATTGTATGAAAGCTAAAGGGATTGACACATCTGCATTTGGGTATGATTCTCTTATGGATAAACCCCATTCCCCCCTCAAAAGGAAATATGATTCTACTCTGAAGAAAAAGAAGAAAACTCAAGAGCAGAAATTAATAATTCTAGAACCAGGTGTTTATGAAAATCTTGCTCAGAAAGTTTTTACTATTGTGTCATCCGATAAATATTCTATCTTAGATTTTTCTGGCTTTATTTCTAGAAAAATTGCTTTATTAATTGATATACCATCTCATCTCTCTTCGACCACATTTACAAATTCATCCATCCCATGTTCATCGTCTTTTAATTTCATCTCTCTTTGAAAAATCCAAAGTTATAACCACACCTCAAATCATCCCTCAACCAACAACCTCAAAAACCCTACTCCAAAAATCACTTTTACACCACCGACTTTCACACCCCCATTTTCTCAATCTCTATTGGAATTTACCTTCACTTTTGTTGCATCAATTGTTGCACCCCAAAATTTACCACGATGATTTCATAATTTATTATGGCTTCTGTTTCATCATAATCATCATATTGCATTGCATTCCTTCATTTGAGATGAGATCAAGGTATTCTTGTCTTCATGGTTTTCTTCAAGTTATGGGATTTGGTTGTATTGACCGTTAATTCATGATGGATCTCATATTCTCATTATTTTTATCATTCAGGCTACAAAGGTTTCTCATGCCTTTAAAGAATTTCAAGTTGGTTTTTTGTCTCATCAGAGGATTCAAGATTTGCAAGGGTTTCAAGCTTAGTCATATCTTCTCCTATCCACTGGCTCTTGAGCATGAGTTTTGATTGCTGAAATGTGTGAGACTTTTCTTGATGAAGTTCTGGAAGTATTGTCATCATGAATTTTATCTCAATACAGTTTCAATCATCAGCAGAGTTTCATTGGACTTCAGTTTTTTGTGGTTACTTTTATTTCCACATTTTTAGGCTTGTTTCATTTTTCGGAGGACTTGAGGCATTTATGTTTCGTGGACCATTGAGGCCATAGCGCAAGAGATGATGTATGGATTATTTTGATCGAGGAAATCTCATCATTGTAAGTTGAAAGGAATTGATTTAGGTGTTTATTGAAGTGGCACACATATTCGGTTATATTCATTTCAAGATTAAGTTCATGTGGATTAATTTCATTTCTTCATGATTCAATATTCATTTGATCTTATTTCACAAAGTCTAATTTCAAACTCAAGTGTTCAAGACATACTTTCGTGGGTCAAAATCCATACATCACCATGATTCATCAAAAAATTTCTACCATTTATAAGTCTATTGAAGTTTGGTATAAATAGTGTTATCATCCAAAAACCATTACAATTCATGAAGGCATTTTATCAAAGTTCATCAAATTCTACAAGTTCACAAAATGTTGCAAAGATCTTATGCTTTCAAATACACTTTTTCCTTTAAAGTTTCTTTTACAAGAGCTTTCAAATTCTTATGTCCTAAGTTTTTAGGATAAAATACTCAAATGGATCCTAATCTAAGTCCAAAACTTGCCAATAAGGTCTTCATCTTCACTTCTCCAAGTTCCCTCCAAGACTCGTTTTTTTTTCAATCTTCAAGCTCGCCATAGCCATTTCCTCGGCTTCATCTTCAAATTATTCTATCATCCTTCTTCAAGCATTCACCCTTTTATTTTTCAAGCCCTTGCCAATCATCATATCATGAAACAAAAAAGAGGAATTAGTTAGAAAATGATCAAACTTGAGTAAACAAAATTTCCAATGAGTTTCTATTTAGAATTTCATCATTACGGTATGGAAAGGAATCAAAATTTAAGGGTGGTTTTTCGATCACATTCAAGCAACCAAGGCCTCATTTGTATCACACATAATCAGAATCCCAAGTTTCAATCATTGGCCCACAAATCCAATCGCAAATCACAAAAAAAGCTATTGTTTTTTTTTGTTCACAAAAGGATGTTCTAAGCAACAAGTCAGAAACTGTAGAAGTCCAACCTAACAAAAATCACATTTAGTTTCACAGAAAACAAGCCCCAAAACCAGAGGCAGTAAATACAGAATTCTCAGTAAGAGAAGCATATCAAAAATCAGAATTATCACAGCGCAAGTACAATTCTGCAAGTCAGAATATCATGAATTTAAGCCCAACGAAAGCCTCATTATTTTGCAAATCAGAATTTCAATACATAATCATGGGCCAAGTTTCATCTCTACTACAAATCACAAATTCAATTTGGTTCACAATAAGACAAGATCAAAGAGACCCAAATCAGAATTACAAACTCAGAAAAAGGCTCATCACCGTTCTGATCCCACATAACAAGAAACAACATTGCAAAACCAGTCCAGCATCACAGTTATGCACAACAGTAAAAATCACAAGTCAAAATTCAAGTTTAGCCCAACAACAACAAAGCAACGTAGCAGAAACACAATACCAAAGCAACAAATATCATAACAGAAACACAATTTCCAAAGCCAAAAACGCAAAACAAATTCAGCAAACATGTTATCATAACAAATTGCAGAGTCTAGTTGTCAAGAAACAACCATAATCCATCTCATTATAAAAGCATTCAATTGCACAAGCGTATGGGGGGAGAACTATTCACACAAATCACAAAAAAGTTGTGCAAGCATCAAACCTGAATCCTAAATTGTTCATCATTTTCTCATCACAAACCATTCAGATTCGAAAAAAGAAGAAGAAACACAAATTGCAAGGATCAGAAGGATACCAAAGAATAAAGCTCATAAAGATCTCACCAAAATGAATCTCTGACCGTCGAACCATCCGCCTATCATCATTCCATTCCCAGCTTCGATCTGAGTTTTTCACCCGCGTACAAAGGGTGCAGAACCTTTCTATATTTACCATTTCACTTAAATTTCACCCTAATCTATCTTAGGGTTTCAAGAACCCCTTTCCAGATCTTGCTTTCGTTTTTTATTTCCTGCAGGAATAAATTCCAAATTAGAGAAGAAGAGAGAAAGTCGAAGTGATTGGTGTAAAAGGAATTTATATCGGAGTAAAAGTCATGACGTCACCATCGTCTGCTGTTGTCGTCGCCTTAAGCGATTTCCGGCGAGCTCCAAGGGAAGACACTAGATGAGAAATGGGAGAGGAAATATGAAGAGAGTTTTATCTCTTCTGTCTCTTTTTATTTTTTTGTTATAATTTTTTTTTGTTTTTATTTGATTAAGTTGTGATTACGCATTAATCAGGTGATGACAATTGTCATCACCCTTGTGGTCTGTGGTTAATTCTGTGCAGGTACCTCCCAGTGGTTCACTGTGCACCCTCGCCTCCATCACCATTAGATCACCATCAGATCATGCTTATCACCATCCCAACACTCCAGAAATGCGTATCACAGTGGACTATCAGGGGTTGCAATCATCAGATTACCAGATCTCGCATGTATCCTCTCCACCAGCCTTATAATTCACCACCAATTCCCAACCATCAGATCTCATCAGATCTGGATCTGATTGTCGTACCCCGAATTTGCCCTACCTTTATGATCGTATTTTCAAGATTAAAACTGGAAGAAAAATGCTTTGGTTAAAGATGGTCCAACAATATATGATTTTCCATTTTTATAAGTCCTAGTCAACCATGGGGTGTATTTTAATTCAAGGGAGTGGGGCTTTCTAAATCAAAAAGACACATATACCCGTAGGTCCATTTACGAAGCATGTTGGCCAATGGCTCATGAGATGCGAATATGGAGAATTATTTCAGAAAAAAGAATTAAATTTTAATTATAAAAGCCCACTTAAATGATTTTGTTGTTAGTAAAAAGAAAAGGTGAAATTACGAATATGAAGCCCATTAAGGTTTTTTTAGCCAAACCCATTTGAAGTTTTTGTCATTTACTGTTTTATTTCAAAAAAAAAGTTATTATTATTAAGCTTTCCTATTATTATTATTGTTAAAAAAATCCTTTTAAAAATTATAAGTAAATTTACTATAATTATATTGTGATTAAAACATTTTTGTTTTATTAAATTTTTTTATACGTAGAATTACTTATTAAATGGTTTTTTATGTTTAAAGATTTGTTTTAAAGGGCCTAGTATTGGACCCAGTCTGGATTAAAAGAAAATGTTTGATATGATAAGAAAAAGTTATGGACAGAAAAACATTTTTAATGCAGTAAAGGCCCAAGATGAAAAAGTGCTGGCAGGCCCAAGTTCAAAACATTTGTTGGACCGAAAGTTACAAGCGCAGGACCATATTAGAAACAAGTAATGTGTGAATCACGGCCAGATTTGTGCACGTTTTATCCAATTAACATTTACTGTTGGAATCAATCAAATCTAAAACATAATTATGTTGCGAATCAGATCTTGTTATCTAACTAAAAGCCCAGAATTTCTGAAGATTATACAAAACGAAAATATTATCAAATGTTTATATTCAATCTTCATTACAACAAACCGAATACACAAAATCAACAAAGCCCAGAATGCTTATTACAACCAAAATCTAAAAAAAAGATGCAGAATCTAAAGCTATCTCAAATCTCAGAATCAAATCCAAATATTCAATTACAAATCAATCTTAATCATTTATAACAACATCCAAATCCCTAATTTATTTCTAAATCCCTAGATCTAAGATGAATTCGTAACAGGAAGGCCGTAGTACTACCCTATAAATACGAAGTCAAAAATACAGAGAAATGGAGGAAAAGAATTTGAAGAACGAGAAGTCGAAGAATAGAGTCGGGGACTCGAATACAGAAATAAAGTGGAAGAAGAACACGAAGAAGTAGAAGAACCTCTTGCTGTTGAAGATCCGAAAACAGGCAATTAGGGTTTCAACATCTGAAACCCTTATCGCGTAATCACCGCCGCCGTTCAACCTTCCACCGTTACTGTCACCGGAACCTGCAAATTGGAGAAAAGAGCTTAGCAACGAGCGTTCAAAACCAGAGAACAAGGGAAATCGCGAAAGGGTAAATAAACTCAGCTTCTTCTTTTTTTGTTCTTGTATGTGGGTTTTGTTGAGTGGTCATAATGGAAGGTTGCGGGTTAGGAACATCGCTCCGCTGCAAAGGATGTGTTAGGGTCGGAACTTAGGGTTAAAGGAGGAAAGGGTTGTAAGGGAAGGAGAGAGAATAGGGAAAGGGTCACTGTAAAACAAAAAAATGAATTGTAAAATGTAAAAAAACAAAAGTTTATATTCTGTAAGGATCCAATGCATGTGCGTATACGGTATTATCATACACCCCTAAACCACGTCTCTTTGATCATCACTGGATGGACGCAAGGCCAAGTCCAGGGTAATATTCATGTACCCTCACACACCTAATCACTTAGGCCCCAAGAAAAACGTTTTCTGGACCTAGCCCATTCGTGTTTGCACCCCCCTTTAGTCGTTTTACCAAACCAACAAACAATTATGCACCCCCAAGCTTACTGGCCCTGAATTCAATATCTGAATTCAGACCCTGACTTTTTACACCCCACCCTTTTTGCTACCTAACTAAAAATGCGCCCCCTGGCTAATTTCAATATTTTTTTATTTGTTTTATTATTTTCTTATTTTATTATGTTTTCATATTTTATATATTATCTATCTTTATTATTTCTTTTTTATAATAATAATAATAATTATTAATATTAATTTTTATTATTATCATATATTATTTATTATAAATAAATTATTTTGTTTAGAAACTCATGCATATATTATTTTCTATATTATGGTATTAAAATATTTTTATATCATGCATTAATTAAGAATATTTCATAATTAATATTATAAAAAATATATAACAAATCTTAAATCTAATTTTCACAATAAACTAATCTAAACAAATGTTTTTGCTAAAGGGTTCCAAATATATTTTGACTAATCGCGCATTTAGTCCAAAATTCCACAATCTCTACACTCGGTCAAAATGCAAGACGATTCAAAATACTTTTGCAACCCCTAAAAAACACAAACTCATACGAACTATGAATTAGGACTCTGATTCCTCATAAGAGGATACGTAGGCATACGTTAAAAATCAGGGTGAGTTCCCCTATTAAAAATTAAAACCCTTTTCCCCTATTAAAAAAATTAAAACCCCTTCTTACCTAACCGTTAAACCTAAACCTAGTATCTGAAGATGTGAAAAACACAAGAAGGGAGGTTGAATTGTAAAACTTAAAATCAAATGCAGACAACACGTTATTTTTATCCTGGTTCGTTTGATCTCAAACTACTCCAGTCCACCCGTCAAGGTGATTTCGCCTCTCTCCAACGAGGTCTTAATCCACTATATTCAACTGAATACAACAACTAATTTAACAACTGTTAAAGCCTTCTTGAGTCTAACCACATACCGATTTATCTCAAGGAATTTCTCTTACAGATAATTGAACAAAAAAGTGTGTTTGATGTTTTCTAGAAAAACTATATATCACAACTGTGATAATACACAATATGAAGCTTAGAATAAAAACTGGATTGCTAGAGCTATAGAGTAAGCGAGGTTAAAGGCTTTAGCAAATATGAGAGCGTGCGTGAAGATGATTAGCTTAGGCGTGTATATGCGTGTAGAGTATTAGCCATTTATTTTCTCACTGACTTGTTTAAATAGCCTAGGAAGAGATACGTTGCTGTCCATAAATCCATTTAAATGCTCATAACGTTCTTTCCTTTTTGAGAAGATCTTTGTCTTGGAATAAAGCCGTTGGTAATTAATCTGTCTTGAATGCATAGTAACGTTGACACTTCAGAGTGTTCTGCTAATGATAATCAGAGTGTTCTTGGCTTTAGCTTATTCTGACGCTTCTGAGTGCTAATGACTTGGTTAGGATCTTGATCAGAGTCAGAGTATGTTATGCGCAGATTCTGTTCATCAGGCTTCAGCGTATGATCTGGTAACTTCAGCGTGTAGCTAATGTTATTTGATCTTCTGATGCTGACATATCTTCTGATGCTAATGTTGATATTGATATTCTGATGCTGAATCCATCAGAGTTTCTCTAAATACACAACATAATTTTAAGTAGCATATATGTCATATATAAATCTCATAATTCATTTAATCTTGTATTTTGTTATCATCAAAACTCTAACTTAGGGTTGTAGAATCAAACTATGTTCTAACAATCTCCCCCTTTTTAATGATGACAAAAACCAGATTTTTTCAATTAAAATAAAATAATAGAAGGTATCAGAGATTAAGGATAGAGAGGAAAAGGTATCAGAGATAAACAAATAACAAATACAAGGTATTATAGATAAGAAGATAAGGAATAAAAGGTATCAGAGTAATGAAGAGAAAAACTCCCCCTGAGTTGATTACTTCCCTTTAATTCCATGAGACCTTGAGCATCAGAACTTTACTTTATCAGAGTTCATCAGATTCTTGTACCTGTAAGATTTTCAGAAGAAAGAAATTCAAATATATCATAATGTTAGAATGTTTGAGACTTATGTCTCAGTAATCCGTTATTGAAAAATATCATTCTTTCTCCCCCTTTTTGTCAGTTATCAAAAAGCACAAATAATTAGAGTTAAGATGATTAGAGCAAAAAGAGCGTTTATATAAAAAAACAGAAGCAATGATTAAGTTCAGAACACGTAGAATATTACAGACAAACATGTAAAGAAAACAAGGAAACCACAAGAAAAATTCTAAGAGGAAGGTGGAAGACGTGTGAACAGAGCTTCCAACATGCTCTTGATTTGATTGCTGGTTTCCTGTTGCTGAGATACCATGTTTGCTATAGAATCAATCTTGATGTCCTACTTATCCATCCTTTCATTCATCAGCATATCAGATCTTTTCAAATCCTCTAGAGTCTGCCTGTCAAGAGAGGAAGCTTGAGGATCTTCAGATACCGGCTGTTTCTCAGAGCTTTCTACAGTAACTTCTTCTTGACCCAAGTCTTCAGCTGGAATCGTCTGTTCTTCTGCAAGTTGAACTTTGGATGCTAGACGCTTTTCAGACCAAGGAGCAATATCTAGATGGAGAACTTCTTCCTTAAGAAGCTTGCTCAGAACTGGACCTTCATTTCCTTCAGCAGATTGCTGAAGTTCTGTTGAGCCTGTCCATAGCTCTGGTCTTGTAACTTAAAGGTTTCAGCGCATACCCATCTTCTGAATTTTGTCCAGAGCAGGTCTGATACAGCAGGATCAACCAGTTCCAGACTTGCTTGTTTCAAAGAAGTGATCCACTTCTGTATATCTGTTTCAAAGTTCAATATACTGGAACCAACATCTGGTTGTTTTGGTTTAGGGATAGCAGTTTTGTTGTTTATTGCAGCAAGGCGTTCAAAGACTGTTAGATCAATGACAGTCTTGCTGTGGTCACCTGAATTTTTCTTAGGTGAGGGAGTGGGAGAGTCAGAAATTACGATTGGACTTGATGGGGTATTTGGTGGAGTTATTTCTGGTGAAGAGGGAAGTTGAGGAATATTTACAGTGGTACCACAAGG